CATGTAAATTAAGTTTAAGGATATACTCATCATATGAAAATAAAGATCAATTCAAAGTATTCACAACCCTACAAATTTAACCTATTTATCACAACAAAAAACTATCAGAAATCTACTCACTATATATGATAAACACCAAAGAAACTTCATTTAATCAAAGTAAATTAACCAAAAATGTTTTTACAAAAATAATCAAATAAGATTACACACGATACTTAACTTTTGCTCTCTGAAAAGAGAAACAAACTCCACCGGACGATGTTTTCCATAGTTCTACACAAGTTGCTATCGTAAACCACTTGTAGATCCTGTCAAATTCCCTTCTCAAATTTCTCCAGAACAAAAATTCCTACTCCTACCTACTGTTCATGGAGAATTCCAGGACTTGAAACTTCTTCCCTACCCCTAAGATTGTCGAAACTCCCTGTCTGAATCGTTAACACCCGTAAAATAACTCCCGGAGTCGTGCATAAAATATCTATCTGAACTGTAACACCTAAGCGCCCAATCTGCGACACCTAAACATCGTGCTTTCTGTCTGCTCAAGAAGCTTGGGTGCCTAGGCACCCAGAACTTGGCGTCAAGGTGTTCATCTGCAAAACCTTGGCACCCAAAAGTGGGCGTCTAGGCATCAGACCACAATCAACACATTTGCTTCATTTGGTTCGGTTTCGCTCCGATTCAGTCCAAATTCGTTCCAATGCTCCTACTTGTTATACCTACATCATAAATATAAAAATATTTTCCATTAAAGTAAAATTTCATTAAGAAATATGTGTAAATAAAAAAAGAAATTAAATATATCTAAAGACATCAATTCCTCTCCAGTTATTCTGTGATAATAAAGAAGTCATTAGCATTGCTCATAATCTGGTCCAACATAATCACACCAAGCATGTAGAGATTAACCAGCACTTCATTAAGGAGAAGCTTGATTCAAGGGAGATTTGCATTCTATTTGTCCCATCCAATAGTCAATTAACAAATATCACCGAGAATCTTCCTCGGCCTTGTTTAAGGACTTCAAATCTATATTGAACATGAACATCTATACTTCAACTTAAGGGGGAGTATTAAAATTATTAGCCTAGTTTTTGGTTTCAATTATTATTTGCCTTTATTTGCTTGTTTTATATGCTTTCATTTCCATATTTATGAATTTTCTAATTGGTCTATTTCTGAATTTATGTCTTTCTTTTTATTTGGGTATTGTAATGCGTATTTATACCCCTTTTCCTATCAACGAAGTTATCATGCTCTATTCCCAAATTTCTATAATATATATGCTTTTAAATTATCATTCCATAATAAAACCCCGGTTACCATCCCAAACGGATAAGAAATACTAAGGGATGATAT